GTCCTAGACGCACCGCCCTGCGACGATAGATCCTTGCTGAGCTTTCGTCCGTCATATTACGCACATCGTCAGAGCAGGAATTCAGGCTTTACGTTAAGTCATTAGGCACAAATACAAACCAGATTTTCTACGTCTTTCACATGACGGGTGAAAGCTCAGCAAGGATTCATCGGGGTCGCAGGGCGATGTGTCGAGGACCTATTCGCACAAATTTAGAATCAATCTACAATTTTCGGTGAGACAAAATTACGAATCTCTTCCACTCATCTCTCTAAACGAAATGAAAGGTACTCAAAATAAGGATAGGTTTTTAAAAAGTCAAATCTAAATCATGACATATTTATGTTGAGACTTAGCAAATAGAAATTTGAACCTCACAAATTCAGCAAGGATAATTAACATTAGAAATAATGGAAGATTAGCTGTGTACTATTAATATTTTGTTCGTGCTAATCTAGTAGAGTTGACAATGGTATCATATTATATTTAAACGGTCTGATTCAAAAAGGAGATCTTCCACTTGCGAATCGTATATAAATTCTTTCAAGCTCTTATCTCTATCAAAAATATTACTTTCTTGGTGAATTCCAAAGTGGAAATTAGAATGTGCGTAGAGCTATCAGACTTAAAAAGTATAATATCAGAGATAACTCGGGAAAGGTAAGAGGTCGTACCTAGAGCGCCAGATCAGGAGGAAGGATTCATGGAAGCAAAGCAAATGGGGCAAAGAATAAGCTTGAATAAAAAGATTCCAGAAACTCACCAGATTTGACACTTTTAAGCGAAAATATACCAGTATTTTTTCTCAAATTAGATTCCGTGAGGAACTCTTGTTCATGAGAAATTGACTTTGCATGTTCCAAATCAACTAGTTTATCCGAGTTCGGATTGAGGCCTCCTGAACCAATAATTGACTGTGTATGCAAAGGGCTAGAGCCTTTTGAAGATTGAATAGTGGGTGAGTATTCATTTAACAAGGATACAGGATTGGCATAATCGGTTGAAATACTTTCTCTGCTAGTTGCATCAGCTTTGGAAGGCGAAGCAGAGCCAGTTAGAAGGGTTTGAAAGCAGAGGCCTTCCTGAGCAAAGCGAAAAATAAAGGAATGTGATGTTGAAAGATTTTGATGTTATGCATTAGGAAGAGGCGAGAATTAAGACTAGTAAAAAATGCATGGGCAAGAGGCTAAAAATAAATAAAACAAAAAACCTGAGAAGCGTCTAAGACTGCCAAATAAGCATAAAATGTACAAAAGTGGTTTAACCTTGTTTGCACAAGTTGATTATACTGTTAGGGATACCAAGATGAGCGAACATTTTCAGAAATCCGCCAAAATAGTAATTATGAAAAGTGCAGGGCGTGAACCATGAACTTAAGTGCATTCCCAGAAGGATAACGATGGTTGTAAGTCAATCATGCCACGTGAGCTCTGTAAATTGTTGTAAGCGTTATGGTATTAATTTTTCGTTTATAAGTAAAGATCTTAGGAAAAATTACCATTCGGAAATAGTTAATCAGAATTTTCACAATTTCAACATTCAGAAGTTATGACAATGCTATGATAAGGAGAGGAATAAATTATGAGTTTATATATATTAAGACAAAGCTCTGGCAGGTTTCTTTGAAAGATTATCTCCACAGTCTCCGTGATCTTCCGTTTCCTGGTGTTTTCCCCATATTAGGCAAGTCTTTCCGTTGCATTCCATTCAATTGTGTGGTCAGTAAGGACAATGTGTTCAGCTATCTCCGATCTTTCCCTATCAATTTTTTCTGCATAGTCACTGGTGTTGTCTGATCCTTATGTGCTGATTATCCTTCACGTCTCTATAATGTATTTTTGTTTACATTCTTTGCAGTTTATACTGTAAACTCCGGAGCACTCTATTTTGTTGACCTCCTCATGTCGCGTGGGCAAGCTGATGAAGTTATCCTCTCCTTCAGGATCGTACGAATGTTCCAAGCCGATTCGCAGAAAGGCAGTCATATCCATAGTTTTTCCTCTGTTCCTCTTGCTTTCCTATCATAACCTCCGTGCTTCCATCTGTTCATCACCACCTGTACGTTGTGTTGTATTGCTTTTTCTGGATATATGCTTCCAATAATTATCTGAGCCATAAAAGGAAAGTTATTATGAAAGGTAAAAAAATAAAACGGACCATTACTGTTATGCCTTTATCCAACATCGGGCCAGTGACTAAGTGCAATCTTAAAAATTTAGTAGAAATCGTCAGTAGAAAGCGTCATTTTAAGTACCGAGCAACAACTCATTAAATTGACAACTTAAGTCAATTCCTTTGAACACCTTATCGTTAGACAATTGTGCTATTTCTCTTCCCTCATCCCTGGGTAATGGGGGACTGATTTAAAAGTGATAGATTAATAAATAGGAAATCCTGAATAGGAGACTTGAATAGACCAAATTTTGAGAAGCAAGACTTTGTAGCAATTATTAGTGAAGTTAACGTACATTCGAGGTAAGTAATGAGGAAGTCTAAGTAAGTCAAATACGGTAATGAGGGTGAATGAATGTTGTTAATCTATTGGATTATAGACGAGTTGTCAAGAGCATGAAAAGACAAGCTGATAGACGCTAGGCGAATCACAGTCTGAAAATGTGAAGCTTCATACACTGTGTTGCTGGGCTATAAAACAAGCAGGCAAACAAGAAATGATTATGATAAGGCTAAAGAGCACAACAAAAGACGACATCGGTTATGAATAACTGGGAAAAAAGTTGAGTCAGTGCGATTTACAAAAATTTGGAAAGGATCTTCCATAAAGAAGATAAAGACACTGAAATGGGCAAAGATAAGTAACGAATGCCTCGTCAAAGTAGCGTGAAGAGGAAATCAAAGCCTAGATCGACATCTTTAATCCGAAAGTTACCGAAGGTTAGTTACTTTAGTAAACTAGGAGAAAAAAAGGATGAGCAGTCAACGGCAGCTGAGCAAAAAGTTCCGATTTATAATTAACAATTGACTGTGACCACACAAAAGGCCACACCATCTTGGTCTTCATACCTTCTAATAAAGTTAGTGTTATGAAAAAAAATTTTTTCCAGATGATGACCAAAAACCTCGCTAATTCATCCAGTGGAATTATTATTTCCTCTATAAAATTTGCGCCAACATTAAAAATAGCGACCTGAATGCATATTTATGTAGCTTAGTATGAAGTTGATACGGCCAAGCCATTTACAATTCTGTATTCTGGCCTAAGAAAAAAAAGAAATGTAAAAATACACTAAGGAAATAACAATTTCAGAAAAGCATTCAAATATGAGCAAAGAGCTTAAAAAAAATAAGAAATTTGTTATAAAATCTATGCACATCTACGAAGCATGGAATATTAGAATAACTGCAATTCACGTGATGGAATAAAATATCCTAATGGTTCAGCTAAAAGCCAATTTTAACTCTAGTAAAGTTTCAGATCGTTAAAGGTTCATGGTTAATAAAAGCTGAGCAAAAGAGTGAATGCATGATCCAGAGCAAGATAAAAAGCAACACCTATATCAAAAATAGAAAGATAATCTTGGTTTTGTAATGAATGCAGGACCAAGTAACGATACCAATATAAAATACTTAACGTGCGAAAAAAATTCTACATAAATAAAAATCAAACAAATACTGGGAAAATTTCAGCACACAACATACGTTTGCTTCATCGGCACTCCCACCGAAGAATGATATAGCAGAGGCCTGACCATACTTGAAATTCACTTATGCCCTGTGACTCAAGGGTACTCGTGGCAGTGCAGCCGAGTGGTTAGCGTGTC